GCTAAAAACATGAGCATACCAGAACAATCATGAAAGATTAACGCAAAAAAGCCTCAACAATTTATCTTCAGTGATTAGTGCTCTAGGCTTCAACAGATTGGAGGCACTGTTTTGTAAGGCTGGAACTTATTAAACAAAAGCACTGTAAAGTTTTCAAATAAATTAAACTGCTGTGAATACAAGTGATAAAGACCAGAAGAACCGTGAGTTCTGGATAGCAATCCAAAATATTTAGAATTAAATTATTCATAGCATGTTAGCTGAAGCTTAAATTCACCATTACGCTCATGGACACAGACCAGAAAATAATTTTTAAAGACTTTTTTTTTCCCTTCCAAAATATTTTTATCGATGCAGATTATACATTACTTTAAAAAGAATGTCAGATCAATGATCATTAGTCACTAACAAATTGAAGAGAATCTCAGGGTCAGAGCATTTGAGGCAACTGTAACTAGTTCAAGGTGCAAGAGAAGAATCACAACATTTAATCTTGAACCAGATGATTAGTCAAAGCATGAGATTGAAAGAAACGCATTTGAAGAGACTAGTAAGAGATAACATGCAGCATTATATTCAAGTTCCCACCTCTCCTCCATGGACCATAAACATCAGGAAAAGTGTGTTCACTGTAGGCAAAAGTACAGCAGCTACTAAAACACAACATGAACTAACATGTAAGACAGATACAACAGAAATACTAGCTTTCTGCCTCCAGTCACTGAATCTGCCTGTAGAGAGGTAACAAGGATTGGTGGCTGATTTGATAAGTACTGAACACCCACAAACAAAAAACTACAAACCGATGCAGCAGCACAGCTTCTCAAGCAAAAGAAAACCCAGAAGTAGTCTGTACCTTTATAAGTGAAAACATGCACTTACTTAGAAGTAATCCCAGTAATTTATTTATTGATACTGCCCCACTCTTTCTCAGAGAACAGATGCTAAAAATACTTACAGTACAAAGACAAAAAAAAAGAAAAATAGTGACAGCAGCAAATAAATCCAAACAGTATCTTGTGTTAGACTTTATGTAGTGCTGACCCACTTTACCAGGTGCTGTTTGAATTCCAGAATTCAGATTTTAAGTATAGACTTTTAAAAAGAAAAATGCTTAACCAAATTATCTCTGCAGCCCAACCGTTAACCTTCGTTTTTGAGGCATCCATCAAGCTTTACAACTGCTCTGGCTCTTTCTGTAACCACAGTGAATATGAACATTAGAAAAACTCTGCATCACCCAAATCACAGTTATTCACAAGGAAAACAGTTTCTATGACTCAAAAAGACAAAAAAGAAAAAGGAGTCATCCAAGTCCGTATGTCAGCAACAGGAAAATACAAATTGCTACCAAAATATTCCAGCCACTAACGATAACAAGCACAGGGACAGCACATTTCATCATCTGATCAGATTCAATTGGACATTTTATTTCTTTGACATTTTGCTTAAAACCTGTGAAAATGAAGGGACATAAGCATCATCCTCTTGGTGTTCTGAACAGTGTGTTCTACTTAGAAAAATCTGTGCATATGATGGAAATATTAACTGATACTACTAACTACAAAAGTAGAGATTGCTTCTGTTAATCAAGTTGGCCAAAACACAAAAGCAACACTCCCTAATGACAGAGAAATACCACTTCCCTCATCAACAGTAATAGCAAAATGATTCACTGAAAACCCAACTGAATCAAAATTTCATCTTCACTTAAACAAGTTTAGAGAAAACAGATTTCTTTCTCTATTTTGTTATCTTCATTTCTTGTACCAGCCTTAACCAATCTGCTAAGACCATTACTAATGATGTCTGCCAGTGACAGCTTGCAAGAAAACAGTAAATAACAAAGAATTACAGTTATATAGAATGACCTACGTCACTTGATAAACTACACACAAGCAAGGAACATAACTGAAAATGGTCAAAGGGCTCTTCAGTCTAGGAAAGATGTTCCCAATTATATGTTCACTTCATATTTGTACAAAGCTAGCAACTGACAGTCATTGCCTAGACAGCGACCTAGATAGTAATAAAGACAAAGTGACCCAAATAGAGAGAACGGGAATCTCAGCACCCCTCTAGGCATCCTTCACCTGCTGGAGGAGGACATGGACAGATTAAGCCCCTCTTCCTCTCTGGCAAATAGAAAGGGAGGAGGAAAAAAAACAAGAGAAAAATCACAACTGTCGATGAGCTTTACAGAAACATCAGTATTAGTAGATTTGTCTTAGCTGCTTCTTCCACTGCACTAGACAAAAATGAGATGGATGTAACCAACTAATCACAGATATGCCATAAATCAACACCAGAAGAATGCACTAAGGCTTCACAGCTGCAGAAATGAAGGGGGATACCTTCCACCCACACCTGGAACATCTAGACCTTAGCACAGGGTCTGGCTCTGGAGATTCCCGCCCTGAAGATGCCTTTTTCTGACCTAAATAATTTGTTTGTAAACCTGTCCCAAGAAGGAAAGATGCAGGAAAGCAACAAGGAAAGACAGATGGAGTTCCCTATTTTTTTAAAAGTCAATCCCAGAGGGGAATAATCAGCAGTTTTTACTGTATCTTCTCCATCCAATCCAGCAGGCTTATCTATGGTTTCTGGCACAAACGTCTCTGCATTCAATCTTAACCTTCAGTAATCTCTCATCAACAAAAGAGGATTCTCTTGGATAGTGTCATGTTCCTAGCTATGTATTTCCTTTTAAGAACCTAAAAATCAACATTTAGCTCTTAAGGAATTTTCATGACAGTCATGACAATGAGTATTAGGTAAATTTATTACTCTAATTAGAACCTTTGTCACCTAGGTGATATGTGGTTACTTGAGTTTTGGAAGTAAAAAACAATGGTGCTTTTTTTTTTTTTTGACAAGGCAGGCCTCTTCCTGATCTGCAGAAATAAACTAATTTTAATCTAGAAAATGTGCCAATGAATGGGAGGAGCTTCTACGGCTAGGGGAATAGAGAGATCAGATGTAAATTTATCCAATTCACTGATTTCAAAACAAAAAGTGTCACATCCAGTAGGAGAACAGGGAGAAATTATCTGAACTATATCACAGATCACTTTCCCTCTTCAAGCTGAATCATGGCTATGGGAGTGGAGAAGGAAGAACTGAATTTGTGGTTCCTGAATTACAGCACAAGCCTTTTCAAAGTAACATACAAGCCAGCTCAAAGCCCAGAGCTGTGACCAGTGCTCAAAGCCAACGGTGGTATCCACAGGGGAAAAAAACCTTGAAAACTCTGTTCTACTATATACAAATAGATCCAACTATACAGAGCTAAAACTAAATAAACTTAGTGTAGAGACGGGACTTTTTAACAAAAATTAGTTATCATAATTACCAAGTGGACAACTTATCAGAAGGCTGTTAAGAATTCACTGTCATGGTAATATTTTACCTTAACACAGGCTCCCTCTCCTTCATAGGATACACCCTACTTTAGGGCCCACTGTCTGTATTTATATTGGAGCATGGACTTAAATATCAGAATATTCTCTTATCTTTTAGCCTATAAACCAAAGAAAATAATTTGGCACTCACTTTTCTTTCCGGTTTCTGGATTTCAGGTAACACTGCACAGAACGGCTTAATAACTTCTAAAAATTTTACTGTTCCAGAAAAACACACACACACAAAAGAGAAAAAAAAAAAAGTTAATGAACCTTTATGAATTTATAAAGCTTCGTACAACTTTATTTAACTTCTATAGGGGAAATAAAGTGCAAGTAATACTTTGTAAGTGAATTATTTCATCACCACACATTCTAATTCAATGTCTGGAAACTAATGCCCTCTTCTTAAAGCAGCTGAAAACAGGGCAAAAGTGTTAAAGACAATACTTGTTCTAATCAGATTTGGCCCACTCTTTTTTTCCACAGCTGGAATAATTTTAGATGAGAACCAACACTGTATGTATCACCATAAGTGAACTAAATTGTACTCCATCTAAAAATAAGTGACCTAGTATCAGTCTGTGCTAGTTAAACACAGAAGCAACACATATCAACATCAAAAAGTATCCATGTAGGGATAACATCTTGTGTTCTAAGTAAGTATTTAACTGAGAAAAATAATTCTAACTCTAAAACATATTTAGAAATGTTAATTTAAATCACTGCAACACTTATTCTGATCAGAACTTCAGGGATTTTATTTTAACTTTTGATATATCTCTCCATGTTTTCTCCTTTAAAAACAAAGAAAAGCTCAACAGTTTGAGCTGTTTTCCTGGAAAAACAGAAAAATTAAAAAAAAAAAAAAATCAAAGCACGTGTGTTTGGTGGGCAATTTGTCCTCCAAAATTTGAACATTATTCTCAGCCCCAACGTATTCAGAGAGCCACAGAAAACAATCAGTACCTCCTCAAAGAAAACGCATCTATTACACTGAAAGTTAAGTCAAATTTTGGTCGAAATGTCATGTTTACTTTGACATATTTCTCCTTTATTTACTTCAAGCCCTCAGCCTGCTCAGAAGGTCCAACCTTGCTCCGCAGAAGGCGGCACATCTCCCGCGTTAAATTACTAAAATATGGAGGGAAGGGTAGGGGGGGGGAGGAAAAGAAAAAACCCCCGGCACAAAGCGGTGCCAAGGGGTGACTCGCCTCACGCCCTCCGCCCGGCTGCAGGGAACCCTGCTCGGTTGGAGGGTGCCCCACTGCCGCCGCACCCCCCCGGTTCGGGCACCTCAGCTCACGGTGGCGGCGAGCAGCGGCGTCCCGCCCTCACACGGGCAGCGACCCCGCTGCCCGGGGAGCTCCCCGCTCCCGCCATGCCGCCGCTCCAGCCCCGGCCGCCCGTACTCACTGCCCATGGCGGCGGGCCACCCGCCTGCCTCCGCCGCTGCCGGCGCCGCGCCCCTCACAGCCGCCCGGCGCCCTCACGTAGCACCGCCCCCTCCCCTTCCACGCAGGCATCGCTCCGGACGACTATCTCTAACATCAAGGGACAGAGCTTACCGCGGCGGGGAATAATTAAAAAAAAAAAAAAAAAAAAAAAAAGCAAGCGATCTTGCCGCACAGGCGAGGGGAAGGGGATCGGCGCTGGAGGGTGAGGGGAACAGCCGGGTCGGTCAGGCTGCCGGCGGGCAGCCGCAGCGGCGAAGGGCCCACCGCCCTCCCAGCGTGCTCTGCGCGCGGGGGTGGCGCCGTGCCCGGCCTGCCGGCTCGTTTCGGCGGGCGCGGAGAGGGGGAAGCGCCCCTCAAGCACCCCGAACCGCAGCCTCGGTTCGTTCTCCTTAGCTTTCAGGGGCTCGGAGTAGGCATCCCTAACGCCGTCGATGCATTAGTATCGATTTGAAGAGCACAAGTTTAGCGGTGCGTGTTACTAGCACCCTCCACCCGCCCGTGCCGCTGGAGGGATGTGACGATTTCACAGGTAATTTGATAAAAATCAGAGGTCCGGGGGAGGAGAGAAGCTGGTAGAGTGCCTGGCTTGAGAACGGGTATCCCCAACCGCTATCAAACCACTTTCAAAGCTCTCCGTTCCAACGGGCAATGGTCCGTAAAATCAGGGCTACCAGAAGTTAGCGTAGGATTTATATATGATAATTTAAAATAGTATTTATTCTGAATTACACATAGGCTTGTACAGTTCCTGTTTTAGACAAAGTTACCAAGAAAGAATATGAGACGTGAAGGATTACGGCTCCTCCCCAGCCTCGAACCTATATACTGGATTTTATTCTGCATTCCCTAAGAAATCCTCTTTACCAAGACCTTGCTACAATATCTTTAAAGAATTTTGTTCAATAGCCTCCCTCATCTGAAATCACTGAGGAAAGGCTTTTTCTAACAGTTTGTATAGCCATAATTTTACAAATACTAAGGAGTTACCCTTCAGAAGTTACTTTCACCTAGATTCCGGAATAGTCTGACAAATGCCCATAATTAATTGTCCTGGTATCTTAGTTGTAGATTATAATCTACAAATTCATAGCTTCGTTAATAGCTAAACTTAAGGAAGTTTCTTGTAATTACCTTTTGTTCAGATTTTTATCTGCACTTACCTTACAAGTCCCTTAAATTACAGGTCTTGTTAGCTTGCTTGTGATCTGTATCCTATCTGTAAATTGCTGCCCCATGTTTTGGTGATTGATAAAGGTCCAGGAGGTTTCCTCAACCCACACTAACATAGATGCACCACTACAAGTGTGCTGAATAAATGTTACTGGGTCACCGATGAATGAGTTCTCAGTGAGGGAAGTACAAAAATAAAAATGCAGTATTATTTCCTTTACTCATTCCAAACGAATACTGTTGTGTTCAAAACTTTAGCCTGAATTTTGAAGGCGCAGATTTTCTTTAAAAATCTAAAATAACATCACTTTAAATATCATTTTTATGTTATTTATATAATGTAATATATATAAAATAACATTAAAATACTTGGTTTAAAATATTTGATTTCCTGATGTGTGCTCTTCTTGTCAGCCAGTTACTGCTGTCTTTAATGAACTGCTCAACCTAACATCTCATTCCTTCAGGGTCTTTACATCTCATTCCTTCAGGGTCTTTACTTCTTTAATTCTAGTTTTGCACTTCCGTGAAAATCCTGAACATGCCACAATGCACAAGTGCCATAACGCTTCCTCTCTTTCTAGTTACTGTTTTGTCTATCTAGCAGCACATAAAGCTTCACTTCTGCTTGTGTTAGTGACCCACAGAGTTCTCCTGTCCAAGGTCTGGAACCTGTTCTCTTACCCACTCACCCAACTTTTATACTATTTAATCTGTCATTTTCCTGATTTAAGTTTCCAGCACACAGAGGAAACTGGCTCCCCTTGCCAAGCAGCACCCTCCTCTGGGGCTTTTGCCATTTCTGCTTTTCTTTTCCAAAATGCTTTTTTGCAGAAACAATCCAGCACTCATGCAGGGAGAGGCAAGTCTGCGTGCAGAGCAGCACAAGGCACGCAAACTGAAAACAGCCTTATGGGCATCCAAAAGTGGTGGGAGAAACAGCGTTAACTCCTACCTCAGCAAGTGCTTTGTCTCACTGCTGGCAGCTGTCGTGGCAGAGAAGTGTTCTGCGGGCAACCTGCAGCAGCCATGCCAAGGAGAGCTGTGCTGAAGCTCTCCCTTCTTTACCCCGGCATCCCTGGGGGCTCCAGGGCACAGCAACACCGGGCTGGGGACATTCAGCTGAGCAGCACTACAGCAATGGCTGTGTCTCCCAGCAGGAGGATAAAATAGACTCTGAATGCTCCAACATCCTTTACTTGGCTAGACAATCAAACCTGCACAGCCTGTGTGGGAGTGGTGTGTAACAGGGTCAGGTTCAGGCCATGTGAAACTCAAAATACTTGGTCTGTTCTTCCCTTGTACGTATAATGATAGTGAAAAAAATGTGGTTTTATGTAATTGTCAGGTTGGAGTCAAGGCTGATGACTGTTCTCCACAACTTCCTTAGCTACAGCTGCAGCCAAAGCAGTGTTACCCTTCAGCCTCCTTTTTCAACTTACCAGTGCAGAGGTTCATCATCAGCAGAGCATTGGGAGATAAATGGTACCAAAAGTACAGTGTGTGACACAAGTGCCTGTTTGGGCAAAGTTCTAATGAGCTGAAGTACGCACCCCAAGTATTATATCCAAACAAAATGTAATCGTATCTCTGTGAAAGAGCAGCTGCTGTTACTAGACAAGATTCATGGTTAGAAACAGTAAAGGACAAGAAGAGCTCCAGCCATTCTCAGGAAGGGTGATTTCAACCTGGAAGAGTCTACTGCCCAGGGAGCATGGCAAGAAATCGTTGGAAATCTCAGAGCAGAAATTTAAACTGGAATAGGTCTTGATTAGAAAAAGCTGTTCAGAACACATAACAAGTTGTGAAGTTTGCTAGGGCAAAGTGGAAGAAACATGGTTTCTTTTCACTGTGATGAATGTGCTAAAGCAGTCATATGAAACAGACTACAGAACATAGATTACAGAGGTTACTTCTGAGTCATGTAGAGTTAATGGATGGATGTGTGAATTAATAAGGATAAAATACCAAAGCAGGCTTCAGAGATGCTTTTGGGAGCCATTTCCCCAGGTGAATGCACACCCTACCTGTGAGCTGCCCTTCCTCACCTACCATGACTTTCCATCTGGAATTGCTGGATTTGGTTAAACGCCACTTGTTTCTTTTCAAAAAGGTCTTTGGTTTGTGGTGGGTTTGGTTTATTCAAGCATGCTCCTCCAGATAATTTTGAGAGGATTAGGTAGGTGCCAACTTCACACTGACAATTAGACCAAAAAAACTTAAAATGCTGGGAAAAATCCCACAGTGATGGGAGAGCTGCCGTGGGGTAGCAGGAGGGCAGCAACACTGGGGTCTGCCTGGGCAACTTTTACCTCCCTCTGCCCTGTGGCTTCATTATTCTCCTGCTTAACCTTAATATTTTGGTCATTTATCCTTTGCTTCACAATAAAGACTGATTTCTTTCCTTTCCCCAGATGACAGAAACCCTCCGGCAGGAACTGCCAGGGCTTTCTGTCCAGGAGCTGGATGCTGGGATACAGAGCATGTGGCTACAGAAATGTCTCAGCAGTTGGGAATGGAGGTTAAAGGGCTTTTTTTGCATTTCTTCCAAATACGTTTAGCTGGAAAAGCCACACGAGCAGAAAGGCAACAGCAGTGGTGTAACAAAGCCTCTGGGCGCCCTAAGAGATTCCTTCTGGAGCTATAGTTGATATGCTAGTCCTCTAAATGGAAGCAGAGCTCCCACACACTGTGGAGGGAAGAAGAATTTTTCTTGCTAGAAGGAGAAGATAAGATTTAGTAGAAGCCCTCCCAGGGCCCTGAGGAGAAGCTGCAAGAAGGGGAAGACCTGTGGTCACTCCTTGCTTGTGAGGGCTCCAGCTGAACTCCTTAGAGTCACTGCCCTCTCCTGCTCACCTTGTCTTGCTGCCAGAGCAAAGGTGCATTTTGGAAACTTCTTCAAATGGCTGGAATACCTGTATCTGTTTGAGCTCCTTCAGAAAACCTGGCTGATTACCCTCCTGTTTTGTCATTTGCTGCTCTTCCTTTCACTGATTTCTTCTATGTTCTGATTTATTAACATGTCTATTCAAGACAAAGTCTGCGATAGCTACACTGCAAAGTTTTCTGCCTAGGAAATTTCCAACAAGCCTCCAGATGAGGAACTCCCTCTGAGGAACTGAAGGAGTTAATGCCTCAAACATTCATCAAAGGAACAAACTGTTTGCCTAAGGAAGCACAGAACACCTTGAAGGGTGCACGGCTCCACTTCCTTGAAGTTGTATTGCTGAGTTATCAAATGTGCTGCCCTGATCTTCTGAGGAAGACTGCTAAACATTGGCTCTGTTGTATAAGCCCGATACTTGGCATAAATGATGCAGGCCTTGCTAAGGACTATACCCTTGAAGAAGAGCTAAAAGACAAATAAGAGGGAACAACCAGCACCAGATGGAGCCAAAGACTGGATGGTTGCCCAAGGAGCAAGAACTGGGGAAAAGGTAAAGGTGGTAGGGGCAGATCACAATCACCAACTCAACTGGATGAAAGGGTTAATGCGCCCTGTCCCCCCTCAACACATGCACAGAAAACCATGATCCACCTTTTCCTCGACTCTCATGCGAATGAGTTTGTAGAGAACCTGCCTCTCTTTGTCTAATAGGCAAATCAGCAGATAAGACAAACTTAAAAATTGACAAAGAATGTTGCTGGGTGTGCACCCACCACCCAGGATTACCGGACCCTAAGGCAACGCTGAAACCTGGGATGGTGATCCAGATTCTTTGACTCTCTTTCTCTCCTTACATTTCCTTTCTTTTCTTTCTTACAGATTTTTCAGTAAGGGGCCACATCGCTCACTATTCTTTCCAAGTTTGTTTCTACAGCAAGTAAAACATTTTAACTGGTTGTTTGGTGTTGTTTCACCTTAATTTAACCCAAAGGAATCACAAAACCTATACAACTCCCTAGGCTCCCAGTCTAGGTCATAACACTCCCCCAACAGGAAAACAAAACCATAAAAAGCCATGGCATTTGAGGGTTTTGCTATAGCAGATTTTTTTTAAGTCCCTTCATCCTCCTAATTCTCCCACCTCTTGCCCTTCCAGCTTCTGATGTATTTGAAAGAGGTCTCACTATTACACCTTTCAGCAAGTTGTCCCTCAAACTCTTTGCAGCCTGCCTTACTGCATTTTTCTGTTTAGCTTGCCATATTTTTGGACTCTTTTTCTGTTGCTCTTACTTGGTCACAACTTCTTCCAGCATGAGCAAGATTTTGTGTGGGAACTAAGGACTACTGAAGGAAGAAACAGAGCAGAAGTAAGCCCCTGAAAATGTGCCACATTCATGAGAACTGGTGAAACAGCACAGCAGCCTGGGACTGAAAAAGAGTTTCCTAAATGTGCTTCCCTTTGGCTTTACTAGTGAGAAGTTACACGCTCCTTGTCAACACAAACAACTAAACCAATGGATCAATTTAACAGTACAAACTTGGGGTTAATTAAAAAAAAAAAAAAACAACAACAACAAAAAAAAAAAAACAAAACAAAACAAAAAAAAAAAAACAACAACAACAAACCAAGCCAGGACACCAAGAAGAATTTCTCAGGTAGGAGGTAGTGTCACTCTTCAGGCTAGCCTCTAGAAATTGGTTAGGCCTCTACAAAATACAGTTCTGAAATATGTCATGATCCCTGCAGCATGCCGTCCACTTTGCAAGCTTGATGTGAAAGCACTGCTTCTCCAGACAAGAAAAATAGTAGTGCCTGAAGCCTTCTGGAGCCATGCTGCAAGGTCCCACTGAGGAATCCTACTTTACCAAGTCACAAGTTGAGAAGAGCACCAACAGCTGCAACAGATTTCCTTTCTGGCCCATAGGAAAAGAAAAGAGAAAATCTACAACACTGCTATAGAAATGGCGCCATTCCCAGGCACAGGGAAGCATTTATTCAACCAGTCAGCACTAACACTTCTGTGGAAAGAAAAACTGTTTCCACACATCCACCATTCCAGGGAACTGTCAAGTGCAGATAGGCAACCTGATACAAGGTATTTTATAAACACCTCACCATCTGCTCTCTGACTGGATTTTTTTTTTAAAACTTTAAAAAGATGTTCTGTAGAAAATACTACAAGAGAGCAAGAAGTATATCTAGAGTAACAGGCATCACCTCTCATCACTAGGTGTTCCCCTACATGAAAAAAACACTTCATCATTACAGAACTTATTCCATTCTTTTTTTCCATTTTGGAGAATTAAGAGTCTTAAGGGTCTGGCTTTTGTTGTTCTTCGCAGGAGGAGGCACGAAACATTGACAGCAGAAGTAGTCAGTCCATTGAAAACTTAGATAAAGGTGTTGGCAAGAATGTCTTCCTGCTGCTGGTGGTGTAGGGTTCCAATGCCAACTGCTGGGGCAGGTAAAGGAGGTCTACTCACAAGGCGGAGCTGAAATTTGAGTCAGGAGGAAATGATTAATGAAGCACAAGCACAGGATGGCATCCTGAGGTCCTCTGATGCCATGGTGATATCTACTGTCAGATACTGTGCCGTCCCAGCTGGATCTAATGCAGGAAGTTATCCTCCACCTCCCAAAGACCATGGCTCTAAGCACATCACAGTGCACAATCTGCCCAGAGCCAAGAGCAGCTTTGGATTCTCCTCCCAACTGACTTCAAGCACACTGTTTCCTACCTGAGATCTTTCATTATCATGTCTACTTTACTAAACACCAGGTAAAAGAAAGCTGCAGTCCTGCTCATCACCAATAAATGGCACTATAAAGAGCGTAAGTAGCTTAAATTACAACGCACATTTGGTTTAGACACCAGCATTAGTTTTCTGTGTAAGTACCACAGAATTTTGCATTCAAGGAGAACTTCAAACTTCATTTTAAAGACTAAAACACCATGGTGACATCTTACCTTAACCCCTAGCTGCTTTTCAAACCGTGGTGACACAAAGGACCATGGACCCATGTTCTGTGGTTCTTCCTGACTCCAGATGAAGACTAAATGAAGGATAAGAGTACATTACAAATGCACTTATTTATCTTTTCAGCAGCTCAGAGTTTTTTCTTTTGTAGCACCTCTACACTTTTTGTCTTAGCACTATCTCTGACCTTGCAGGTCACAGCTTGCTGAAGACAAACCAAAAGTATATCCACCATTAGGGATACTGTGGGTATTTTCTGCTTTTCTACTGCCATTTTCAAAAACTACTGAAAGGACGGGACTGCAAAGACCAGTGCAAAAACTGCCCCAAATGGTTCATTCTGATGTTTAGAAATGCTTTATGGAAACTAACAATAGCAGAGAGAAAAGTTCTTTTAGCACAAGCATTAAACATTGGTATTATCCCACTCCAGAAACACTAGATGGATAAGGGGAAGAGCAAAGAGGAAAAAGCCATTACAACTCTTCCTCCTAAAAGGTAGGAGATAGATTTAGTTCAGTACTTCAAAGAGTCTACAAACACAAGGTAAAAATGTCTGACCTTTTGCACGGCTGTATTTGCTCAGCTCTTGCTGTAGAGCTTCCAGGGGGAAAGGACACAGTTCTTCAAGTCTTAGAATGGCTGTGTTGTGCTGTTTCTCTCCTAGTGTCTCTCTTTGCTTCACCAAAGCATAGTAATGCTTACCAGAACAGAGCACCACTTGGGTGACACTGAAGAAGAATAAGAATGTTTCCAAGTTTAGCATTTTACAGAAACTATGCAGAACAGTTTTACACGTTCAAACAAAAACAACCAGCCAATCTTCAAAGACAACTTTATGAAGCTAAACTGCTACCCTAGACCATATTTTCTCCTCTTTGCCTTTCTTTCCCTCCAACAGTTAGCAAACTAACCTTTGGGCACAGTATGCCAGATCCCAGAATTCCTGCTTCTTCAGTAATCCTGGGAAAGTTACCTTACAATGGGATTCATCTCTTACCTTTATCTAAAAATTAAACAAACACCTAGTCAAAGCAGTCATCTATGTGCTCTCTGTAAAGAATAAACCAGAGAGGGAGAGAAGTACCTCCAGAGGAGAATTCTCTCCCATGCCAAAGAGGAACTGCCTGCTGGAGATACGCAATACTCTCCATCAAACAGAGAGGTCTTGGCTGCCTAATATTACTGGACAAAGGCAAGGAGATAAACCTCACCATCCCACTTTAAAAGAAAACAAGACGCTAAGATACTTCCAGCCTTTTGATTGTGGGTAAGGATACAAACATCAGGGATGCTGTCAGACTTGGCTACTACTGGGACAAAGACCAGATAAGAACCTTAGGAGGGAAAAAAAATGAAGGCCATTATTGCCCACTGTGAACAGGATTCTCTATAATATATGAAGGGAGGGAAATACACACACAAATGATTTATTATTGCCCTAACTTTACTTCATCAGCTCAGGTGTTCCAACACCAGAAAAAAAATTCTGCATCTAGTTCATGTAACAGCTGCTCTCCCAGTGACTGTTAGCTTATGGGCATGGCACAGAACAGACCCATCAGATTAGTAACTGTGGTCACAACCTCCCTGTGAGGGCAAGATCTGAAAGCCTGAGCACTTTACTATTATGGAGATAGATATGTTAACTACCAACAGGTAAGCAGAAGAAAATGAGAAAAACAAGTAAAACTAAGTCACCAACCAAAAAACAACATTTTCCCCCCAAATTCACCTCTTTACTATCACCTCAAACTTAAGCTGTATGTAGGAGGAAGGGAGAGGACAACCTTTCTGAGCTTGTCCTCTAAGAAAGTAGAGTTACCTTTTAGGATCTACAGAGGAGTCACCAATGACAGGCTTGAATGTTGTCCTTGGGGCCATTTCTTCAAAACTTGATACAGCAGCCTACATGGGGGAGAGCTGGAAGTTACCAAACCTCGCTGCCTTTTCCCCTCAGACCAGAGTTGGGGAGAGGATACAGAGACAGGGTTTTGGTAAGTACAGAAGATACAGTCTTCCCACTCCCTTATATTCCCATTCCCACTCCCACTGAAAAAAGGCAGGATGACAAGATTTCTGAGAACATCACCAGACCTAAAATCAACGCTACTTCTAGCATACCTCCACCCAGCTTTAATCCTCAAGCTATCCAGCCCCAAACAGGGAAAACTCCATCCATTTGGCCCCAAAACAGAAATCGGAGCACACAGAGGAAAAACAAAGAGAAAGAAGAAAGGAACACAGAAGGGGGGGGGGGGGGGGGGGGGGGGCGGGGAAAGGAGGGAAGGAAAAAAGAAAATAAAGTTTTCAGCTTACAGGGAGCCTCAGTAAAACTTTGGGAGAAGCAACAATGAGAGGTTTCCTGAAGTTTCGGACCATTTGCCGCCGGAGTAAATGGAAATACTGTGCTGGGGTGGTGGGATGCACAACTGACATGTTGACCTGGTCCCCATCAACTCCCTCTTCTGAGCTGTCACACATCTATATAAGAGAAACACAGCAATACATTGTCAAGAAGCAAGCAGTGAGCCAAATATGCAAGAGAGAATCCAGGCACATAAGGCATGCTGACTAGTGTAAGAATAGAAGAGCAAATATACCAATTCAGACATTGATTGCAAGGGAAGAACAACTTCAGAGAAGAAATGGCTTTAGCATTTAACTGGTAAGATTGTGTCAGAACTGCCTCCTTCTAGCACATTGTAACCAGAGCATGACAGTTTTTCCAACAGTGGAGAGGTCATGACTATCAGAGTGGCCACATCCCTCTAAATATGTTGCAAACCCCTCCTTAAGCCATTACTCAGATGAAATCATTTTCTTTTACTACAGTCACAAGGGCACAACAGTGGAATTTTTTTGTTTTGGGTTTGTTTTTTTTTTGGTAAAAACGTGCCACAGATTTACTAACTGATATTTCATAGTGTCCAGAATTATGTTTGTATGTTCTATGCCTAGTGGATATTCCTGTGAG